CTCCACCTGCTCCCTGGATACAAGCGCTGCCATCTTGCGCATTTGTAGTCAGATTCTGTGCAGTAGTGATCAGGGGGTGGAGCCACAGTACATCAGTGTGTAACTGCCAGAAATGACAGAACCTATCTTTGAGAAAAATGTATTTGACTTGAACTTTGACTTTTTATTTAGATCTATGTCCCACCCATTAACATGCTGGAGGCTGGATTTATGACCTTTACTGCAGCCAGCCACCAGGTGGTGACCAAGGTGCTTTGACTTCACTTTCATTGGAGCTGTCATGTCGTCCATCTTTACATACATTCTATGCTCTTGCCCAAGGTCACTTTGGCATGTGGACTGGATGACCGAGGGGATTGAACCACTGACCTTCTAATAGGCGAATGACATGGTGTACCTCCTGAGCCAAAGCTGCCCTTGCAGCAAAAATATCAAGATATCAAACAAGGCCAGGGATTGCAGTCAACACCCCTGACTGAATGACTGTAACTGATAGCAGAGACATGGACTGAGACGATGTAGAAGATGGAATTTACTTGTCAAAGATGAAAACCCATGTTTCTTCAGTTTATCAGTTTGTGTTGTTAGAACAAGCAAATAACATGAAAGGTGAACCGGTCACACAAACATCATCAACAGAAAATCACTGGAAACGATTGCAGCACCAACTGCAGTGTTTACCACCATCTAACCAGCATCTGGTTAAGGGAAGCTGCTCATTGGAAATGTGAAGTGTTGTAACAGTAAAGAGTGGGCCATTTCATTTTATAACCTGGCTTTACGTTAGCATGAAATGTCGCCACCCCATCAAAAGTCGGCTCACCAAAGTAATCTGCCATTTGAATGTTTGACCGCTCAGGTAAGGTTAATAAAGCTCAGGTAAGGTTAATAAAGCTCAGGTATTACTAACAGCAAGGTCACCCCCACATAGAGAATTTCCTCTTTCTCTAATGCAGCTAATGTGCAGCTCGGCACTCGCTCTAGAGGAGGAGAAGAGAAGGAGAACAGGAAATACATCAGTGCAATGAATAAGAGAGACAAGCAAAGATCCAGAGAGATGCATTAAGTTGAGAGTCATTAGGCCCAACACACTGCTGCCATTATACCATTCTGCGTTACATTCATCAGCCTCTTTCTTTAGGAAGCTGTGGGGTGAGACACAAACATATGGCTCAGTAAGGCTGCATGCAGCTCTTCTTCAAGGAGATTCTCTGTGATGTTTCCCCCCTCTCCTCAGCGCCCTGCCTTACACTGCTGTATTTAAAGCAACCTGTGTGACACTGAACCTGACTAAATCTTTCTGAAGCAAAGCTGAGGTATTCAACTTGCCTCCGAGGCAGAGAGAGAGAGAGAGACAGAGAGAGAGAGACAGAGAGAGAGAGACAGAGAGAGGGGGAGCAGAGCCTCGGCCAGGAGTCTATGGATGAGTGCAGATCCCTGCTTAATACATGTTTTCTCATATATTTTGCAGACTGGAAAGTGTTTTTATTAAAGCCAGGCATCAAGAATGGAGTTAAATACATTTACGTAGATAAAAAATTGCCCCATAAGATCTCACCTCTGTCTCTGGTAAGATTTGCACTTTCAGAGGTGAAAAAAGTTTTTTAAATGAAAGAGCCCTTTTCCCCATCAAAGAAACCCACAAAACATCTGGCTTTTGTATGCAATGGGAATTGATACAATTCATTCATGGATCAAACGGCTCCGCTCGACAGGTTTTTAATCGGCTCTGGCTTCGATCAGTGGTGATTAAAACATGGCACCGGGTGAATGGCCAAATTTCATCTTCCTCATTCTGGCAGTCTAGAAGCTGATGCTGCACCTTTTGCGGTGCAACTTTGTGATGTTCATCAAACTTCTCTGGGAGTTGGTGCGTCAATAGATGAACTTTGGTGTACTTGATGTTTTTGAGATCTTGGGAACAACATGCGACAACAGTTTTTTTCTTCGTATTGTGCAAGATGCAAAACTGTCAAGGATGGCAAGGTGAGAATACTTCTCAGTTTCTGGTGCTTTTGTGAATCGCCATTTTTAAGGTTTAGCTGCATTTAAAAAATGTGTGTAATGGTGTGACAGAGGTACAGTACAAGCCTGACTTTAACTGCATGGCCTGCTGACACTTCTATGATCCTTATCATACCGTGATATTTTTTATTCTGTATCAGGTACTCAGATGAAAACCTACAATTTGAGTAAATTTTTATCTCGATTGGCAATCAAGGGCTGTTGTTACAGCTGTTGAGATGAATACTCATACATGAGGAAGTATTGCAGGGGAAGTTGAAATCAGATCAGATTTACAGGAACATACACAGAGACACAAAATGTCAGGCTAAAATGTCAGGATATCATGGATTTCTCAAAGTCAGAATCATTCTCGACTTATATCCTATAACAAATGTCCTCAATCCTAAACCTCTGTGCTGTGATAGGGCAAACACAAATTACATGACCTGATTTCCCGAACACAGAATCGTATCAACACTGGCCTCGGAGGGAACGCAAACTAATTGGTGAGAGTTTTACATTTCTTTCTCTGATGATGGGCGCTTAATTAATCTTTGAAACGCCGGCTTTGTGAGTTGCTGGAGCTATGAAGGAAGAAGGCTGAGAGGATCAGAGTCACTCCAGTCTACTGTTGAGGGATTAGGAAAATATGGTGGAGGCCCGGAGACAATCGAGCACCCAAGCCTCTCGTGAGGAAAATCCTTAAAGGCTGTAACCAAAACCTCAGCCGCATGGAAAAATCACCCTGACTTGCTGCTGTGCTGTAGCTGACTGACACTGACACGTGAGGGTGGTTATGTGATATCATGGTAATCCCACCGACAGCCCCAATCCCGATTCTTCTCACTCATAACCCATGCAAGGAAATAATAAAGACAAGAGGGAGCAAGAAGTTCCATGAAGGCAAAACAGTCACCTCTTAATCCCATTGCATTCGGTGAGTTGAAGCTTTTATAAAATTACAATAAGGTCGACAGTCATATTATTGTTTTCCATGTAAACTTAGTCACCATCAGACATAAAATACTTCAACAAACAAAAAATGAATGATCACAGTTGCAACTAGAATGGCACTCACTCCACCAAGGCCCATGAGTCACCTTAAATTGAATCAGGCTGCACCAAATTTCACACACTCACAAATATCAGGCCCCTAAATATTTCCTCAAGGTCCCTGAATTGTTCACTGGGAAAATGGTGATGATGTTAAAAGGGCTTTTGTCACTATGTTAAAGGAAGCGATAAAAAAACCTGGCTCCACCTCGTTGTGCAGATCTGCACTCAACATTTCATCGATTCTTCCCAAACTAAAAACAAATCATTACAGCAACTTTCATGGAAATACTTTCAGTACTGACATACTGAAGATATAGGTATACTATCCACCCATGTGCTTTTCGTACATGCTCGTCATCATGTACTGTGGGTACATATTTACTTTTTACTTAAAGTGTGAATTCATTTCCAGAATATTTTTCAAAACAGCCTCTCCTCAGAAGAAGAATTAAGACCACAGACAAAACCTGAATTTCCTGTCCTGATACCCAAAAAATACTTAGAGTAGTATACTGATACCCTACTTAGAGAAATGTAGACATGTCTAAAACACATGCAGCCAAACAAGACCGTTGCCTTAATTAAATTTGCAAACTTCTCACTTCGGGATCTGATCTCTCTGGTCAAACAATAAGGAAACAAGGTTATGTACCTGACCAGGTATTTTTGTAGTCAACAGTTTTCATCATACAGATACATTTCAGTCAACAAGAAAGTAGTGACGTCAGATACTTGGATTTTGATATTTTGGACAACTATAACCCACAGACTGCTACTGTTAGTCTTAAGTCCATACATAGATGTTTGTTGTCTTCTTCCAGAGTTGCAGATTTAGAGTCCCAATCACTCTCTTTGTCCCATGAGGCCTAACCTTCACTTGGCTGAACGTCCCACCCAGTCAAGGCCCCGAGCTGAGTGCCACCCTCTCTACAGGGTGACATCAGGCTGCTCTTCCAGTCAGCAGCAGACTGCTCAGGTTACCTCGGCCAAGTGTGGAAAAGGAGCGCTCGGCCGCTGACAGCCCACTGCATCACTCTGCTGCAGAGCTCACAGGGAGCACACAGGGACCGTCTGTGCAGTGTGCACCCCACACACAGGAAAACAATCCAGGCAGCTGAGGCGCTCTACCCGGGCTAATATTGTAGTCTGGTCCAAAAATAGCCTCACGCAATTCTTCCAACAAATGATATGGTCGGTGTTGAATCCACTATCGGTGTCATGGATAGTAAACAGAGATGTTTGCTCTGCGTACTAAAGGTATCGTTTTAGTTATTCCACAGTTAAATGTGACCACACAGCACATACGCACACAGGAGCAAATCATGAGTACAAGAGAGGCCTTTATGCTTTGACCCCATCAAAACGACTTAACATGCACCTGCCCTGTCTCCAAGAGCATGACCACTACTGCTGAGGCAATGAAGCGGAGGCAGACATCAGCCTGTGTCAGTCACTAGTTTAGAAACCCCTGGATGACATCATGAAGTTGTTACACATCTGGTTACCAGGGGGGAGGCTGGCAGATCTCACACAGGGACCCCGTTAATAAAAAACTAACAGCCAATCACAGCAGCCTGTATAAGGATGCTGGGGGGGGGGGAACTATAGCAGCGATGATCACAACTGCCAATGGGATGACAGAGGGTGATGTGCGGTAACAGAGAGTAAGGTCAAACCCAGACACCGGGACGAGCCCGAATCAAAGCGTTTTGTAATGGAACAAAAAATCATGTGTTATTTTGTGAAGCATCAGTTCAGTGAACACACAACACAAAGTACTTGTGGTTATTTACAGGCCTGTAGTTGGATCTGTGGGTAATTCTCAGACGCCCTCGTGCAAACAAAAGAACGGTGCTGTGTGATGCACGCGCCACGTTCACCTGTCGTCTGTCCCTAAAAACACCGCATCGTCCAAAGAAGAGGCGACCTCCACTCACCCAGTACACCGGAGGAGGCTGGTGCTGCGGCGGCGGCGGCGCCCGGCTCCGGCCTCTCCGCGTCTCCCTGCTGCGCTCGGTGTCGGTGCCGGCTGCTCCCGGGGCCGTCGCCGGCGACGGTGGCCGCGCCGCTGGCAGCTGCTGCCGCCGCCGCCGCCGCGGTCCCCGTGTCGGGCATGCTCTCTATCAGCGAGCAGGGGCGACGCACGACGGAGATGTGCTTCGGGAAATCGTGTCCCAATTGTGCATCTCAGGAGAAGGGCAGCGCATGGAGGGGGTCAGTGTGCGGAGCTCCGAGCGAGGGGTTAAATGAGAGCGGTGTTGAGGCGGAGGTCGTCGGTGGTGACGGTGCAGCCGCGGATCATCCTGACCGGGCTGAGGAGCAGGATGAGAGAGAGAGAGGGAGGGAGGGAGAGAGAGAGAGGAGGGAGAGAGAGAGGAGGGACAAAGAGAGGGAGGGAGGGGGTCTGACACACACACACACACACTTTTCTTTGAACAATACTTCTATTTGAATGAGGGCACTTATTTGCATAATATATTCCCACTATCCTAACCATCACAAATAACTGCCTAAAACCTAGCATAAACCTAAACCTAGCATAAACCTAACCCTAACATAAACCTAAACCTAACATAAACCTAACTCTAACATAAACCTAACCCTAACATAAACCTAAACCTAACATAAACCTAACTCTAACATAAACCTAACCCTAACATAAACCTAAACCTAAACCTAACCCTAACCCTAACATAAACCTTAACCTAACATAAACCTAACCCTAACATAA